TTTTTTTTTTTCCTTCTTCTTCTTCCCCTTCTTTTATTTCCTCTTCTTCTTCTTTGACTTCTTCATCATCTTCTTCAACTTCCTCTTTGACACCTCCCATCTTTTTTTCTTTCCTTTAGTTTGTTGTTTTTTTCTTCTTTTTTTTTTTTCTTCTTCTTCTTCCCCTTCTTCTTTTATTTCCTCTTCTTCTTCTTCTTTGACTTCTTCATCGTCTTCTTCAACTTCCTCTTTCACACCTCCCATCTTTGTTTTTATTCTTTAGTTTGTTGTTGTTTTTCTTCTTTTTTTCTTTCTTCTTCTTCTTCATCTTCTTCTTTGACTTCCTCTTCTTCTTCTTCTTCTTCTTCTTCTTCTTCTTCTTCTTCTTCTTCTTCTTCTTCTATCGACGTCCCGTTGATGCTCTGTTGGGACAGGGACGCGGTGCGCCTTGACTGCGGAATGCATCATCTTTGCCATCACCATCATCTATGTCATCACTATTATCATTCTATTGCTGCCGCCGCCCTCTTCTTCGTTTTCTTCTTCTACTTCTACTTCCACTTCTTCTTCTTCTTCCTCTTCTTCATCCTTTTCTACATATTTCAAGAGCCGTCGGTACCCAAAATTCTTGGCAGGGTGTGGATCAGAACCAAGGCATCTGGGGCTCTTGGAGCAGCGGTCCAAAACAAAATTCACAGAGGGGTTGTGCAAAGTTACCTGATGCAATCCTTGGTTTCTTTGAAGATCGAGAAGAGAGGATAGTGCCAGAAAGAGAGATGATTATCAAAGCATCGGGACTGGGACAATGGGACCAGAGAAACTCCTCTTCTGGCCTATGATAAATTACTCTACACTGCTTCCATTCAACCCGCTACTCTTCATCAACTTGCAAGAACAACATTCCTGTGTCACAAAGTCGCATCCCTCCGTTCGTCTCCATGCATGTCCAGTGTCCACTGATGAAGTGGCTGCAGGGTTGCTTTGCAGGAAGGAAGAAAAGAGAAGAGGGACAGCAGGAGGAGGAAGGAGAGGAGAGGAGAGCAGATTCTGGAGAAGGATGGGTGTGGAAGTCATGCGTACGAGGAGGAATTCTGATGTAGGGACGCTAGGCGATACCAGAATATCAACAAGGGGGCAGAAAGCAGAAGGGCTGCATGACAGTGTGATCAGCTCTTCACGCTGCAATTCTCAATGAGAAACGAGGAACGGCAAGTACCTGTCTCTTATACACATCTAGATGTGTATAAGAGACAGGGATGGGTGTGGAAGTCATGCGTACGAGGAGGAATTCTGATGTAGGGACGCTAGGCGATACCAGAATATCAACAAGGGGGCAGAAAGCAGAAGGGCTGCATGACAGTGTGATCAGCTCTTCACGCTGCAATTCTCAATGAGAAACGAGGAACGGCAAGTACACAACGATTGACAACGAATATTCCAAATACAGTACATAATTGAATTTAGATTCCCAATTTCAGATTATGAAATGCAATTGAGAAACGAGATACTCTTTCAATTGAGAAATGAGATACTCATTTTACAAATTCTTACTTGTATAGCTTATGTTGTATCTCTTTAATCTAAAACTACATTACAAGATATTTATAAACATATAAAGCTTATAGTGTATCTCATTTATAAGCATATAAAGATTATGAAATGCAATTGAGAAATGAGATATTCATTTTAGGAATTATTACTTACATATAAAGCTTATAGTGTATCTATTTAATCTGACTACACTAGAAGATATTTATAAACATACATATTATAAATTATTATTAAAATAGAACAATTTTCCTTTACTAGCTCGGCCGATCTATCTTCCAAAAGCAGCTGGGACTTCACCCTCACTAGATCTGACAATCTACCTTCCAAACGTTTCTTAAACTTCTTTCCATAGACATATTCCAAGTTGTCGGACTGATTCTCGTATAACAACGTTTTTTGCAAGCTTCTTTGAAATTTGGCGGTGGTAAATGTGTCATAAGAGATCAGCAGGAAACCACAAAAAAGTACGGCCGCTCGCCCTAGCCAGCGACCGCCGAGCTGTTTGGGATCCTCAGAAACTTTACGCGAGAATTCTCTCAATCAAACAAAAGAGTGCTCTTGCGCCTTCGGCCTTCCATACTTAGGGGGCGATTTGGTTATTTCCTCGCATTCTGATAGGAACAAGGTGAGAGGTAGGGTTAGTCAAAATAAATGCTGCCAGTAGAAGTCAAAACGAATGGCTGATAAGCAGAAAGACAAGAAAGCCCAGAGAAGAGGGAAAGGGGATTACTGTCATGGAGCAGGAAATTGCACGATTGATTCAACCTCCTCAGGGGAGAAGACAGAAGAGGGAGGAGCGAAGAAGTCGGGAGCGATGGATGTATGCAGTCTATGGACAATCCTGATGCTTCGAAGCAGGAGAGAAAGGGGGGGGGGGGGGGGGGTAACATGATGATGAAAAAAACAAGGGAATAATGGAAGGGGAGAGAGGCGATGCGAGCAAAGAAATAGGGCAAGAAAAAAGAGAGTGAAGGGGTAGAGGAGAAGGTAAGAGGCAAGAAGTGGAAGAATAGTGGGCCTAAACTCCGCCAAAGATTTCTCTCCTAGAGATGAGGAACGAACAGTAACCAGTTTTCATCTTTTCCAACCTGTTACATATCGCGTCACGTGATCTCTATATTTTTCTGATAAATCTCATGTGAAAGAAGATACAATGTTTTTTTCCGCTACATGTTTCAGAAATTCGCAGCTGAATGTCGTGAGAATTGAGAAAATAAATCAACGCATTTGTCACAAATAGGAAGTGAGGCCATTTTTTTAAGAAAGGGAAACAAGGCCAGCAGTACTGAGATACACCTATGGGATGTCATGACAGGCCGCACATATCGAGAGCAAACACACACAGACACACACATGCACGCACATATGCGTTTCACGCGCACATGTTGGTTGATTGATAAGAAGATGCGCAACATAATGCTGCGGAAACTGGACAGTGGCCAACAGGTTCACTTACAGAAAAAGAAAAAAAAAACTGCAACCTGTCACCTCAGGATTGGACACCTATTTGAAAAAAGATGAATTCTTTGCATAGAACCCATTTCGTGGACTCGTTCAGAAATCCTTACCAGCCAGCACGGCATGTTAGCAATGGTGTGCCCGACATGGGGAGGCCATACTTCATTCTTCATATCCCATTTTCACCTCCTTCTCCTTATCTATCCTTGTCTGTTTTTCAATGAAACTATCCAGTCCACAACTTCCAACTCAGTTAAAAAGTTAAAAATAAAAGTTAACACGTAAAAGTGAAAGGAAAACAAAAATTGTTCACGAACTGTAACATCAGAAAAAAACAACACACCATTTCAGTAAGAAAAACCAGTTCAACTGTCAAAACTCTCTCCTAACGAAGGGCGAGCGATCCAAGAGAACCCACTCACCCATGAACATAGCTGCGTCTCTTAAGCTTCCCACCGTGTCCCAGAGGAAACGAATGCCTTCGCATCACAGAACTCTCCTTCATGCATTCGGGTGGTATGGAGTCCTTCCCTCTATGAACACAGCTGCAAATGGATTCCACCTGTAGTTCCCAAAAATCGGAAAAACCACCCGCAAATGGATAACCTCCTTTGCTCGTCCACCCTTTCCAGCTTGTCTTCCCAAAGCAGCAAGCCGATGTATGACGGGCTGCAACACAATGCGTGCTGAAGATCACAACCCGAAGCCAAACTGGAAAAGAAATAGGGAACACGACGCGAACCTGGATCGAAATCGAGAATAGAAACAGAATGGGAACCAGAGTGTTGCGATCAAGCTCTTACCGCCACCTTTTTGTTGCCCTATTCATTTAGAGATCGAGCCAAAAAAATCAAGCTGGTTGAATCCGAAGTGAACTCGATCCAGCTCCGCATCAGAGGACATGACCTGCTTCTTTAGAGTGGTATCCTCCCACGATCCTACTCACGAAAGAAAGGGACGAAGACCTCAGTCACGAATTGATGTGCATCTCTACAGTGATAGCCTCCCTTTGTCCGCATTCGCAAAAGAAAGAGACAAAGACCCGCGCCACTGATTGCCAAGGAGAGCATTAGCTGAACGGATGGTAGTTCTCTTGCCGTAATAGAAAAGCTTGCACAGCATGAACATGAAGCCGTCTCCAAAAGGCACTCCGTAAAACTTGCTCGTCAACTCTTGTGCTCTTCACAGGCATTCTGGCATCTTCGTGACACACTGGCTGATACTGTCTGCTCTAGCTTTTCTATAATTGCTCTTCCGCCGTGGAGACGCATATTCACATTCGATTCGCATTCACTCCGACCCCGTCCTCCCCCCCCCCCCCAAACCACTGCCAATTTTGTACAGAGCCAGAAAACAAATGTGCTCTCGACGTATGAAAGCTCCGCACCTCCAAGATTAACCACACACCACACACCACACACACAACACGACAACTACGAAAAGAAAAGGCAGGCAACAAGCCTCCTCTTGGCCCATCCCCAAGCATGGATTGAATGAACCCTGACTGTACACCTGATTTGTGAAAGCTCCACAGTTTCAAGACTAACAAATCACCGCCTGTGGCAACAACTGAGATTACAACAACAATCACATAATCAACAACAATTAGATTAAACAACAATAAAAACATTGCAGTGTCCACTTCGCTGGCTTGGCTGGCTACATGCTCCCCTGCTTCACTCGCCGTCAAGTGGTGTGAACCTGCGAAGTCCCTCCACTGTATTCCCTTTCTCACATCTTCACCATCCCCATTTGTAAACATCCATGTTTTAATTTGTGAAGAAGACGAGGATGTTCGCTGACCACAGACGTGTTTCCCATCGACGAAGAAGGCGAGTAAAGTCGCTGATTGCACGTGAAGAACCACCACCCAAGTGAATCTTGTCTACACTCTTCCAAGGGGGTCAGTCACCAACCAGCCCGTAAGAATCACCAGTCACTACCAATAGTGTTGTCATGACCATGCATTGCGACCCCGTCGCTTCCACGCCCGTGACACAGTCACGTGCAGACAACAGAGCGACTCCCCGATGAATTGGAAGGAAGGGGACTCTCCCTCTGCTAATCACCACACCCCCAGCAACACTGTTCTCATCAACATGCACCATAGCTCAATACATCCATGATTCCATGGGCTTGACAACGCAATCTCACGACAGTAGGGCCGCTGGCAAACAAACGTCCTGAATTGCTCTCTTCTCAAAACCTCCTGAAACCGTATCACCCTACTCCTCGATTTTTTATCACCATCTCCTGATCTCCGCTCCAGAGCTGCAAGCTGTGTCCAAACCCAGGGCCGATTGAACATTGTGTCGCAGGTCGAACTTGACTGTTATAGCCCCATACGAGTGTCATTGGAGCCTCGTCCAGCCCCTGATGAAATCACAATGTAGTACGTAGGATCATATACTAACAGGTACCGTTTGAACCTTTTGTTCACATGCCTGCAAACTGTTCACTCATCTCGTGCACGGAAGAGGCCCCAAGAATCCCGTGCACGGAAATGGCTCCGAGAATCTCGTGCACGGAAGAGGCTCCAAGATGGGGAATGTTGACGAGTTGCCCACTTGTAACGCTGCAAAATCTCGTCGTTAGTGGTGACCAATGCAGCACTCAAAGTGCTTGCATTCTACTTTCAACACTCCAGCTCCACAATAGGTCACGGTGATAAGGACCGATGCTATATCATCAGAAAAAAATGATCAGATCCATTGAAGAGATGAGAGAATGAAATATGGAGCCCCTTCTTACCGAAAAGAGAGGAGAAGGTCATACCTTGCCTCAGAGGAATTGGTTCAGATTGTCAGATAAGGAAGGAGAAGATTAAAAAAGGTGTGGAAAAGTGAAAGGGGGTGAATATAAAATCTGCACGCACCAGACGCAATCGGTCCCTTCGTGTTTGTGAAGAGACTGCCCCTCTTCAATGCCTTGCTTGCCAGACATATAGTTATAAACTCTTTCCTTGCTTAGCCTCTCTTCAATATCTTGCTTGCAAGACATAAGCACCATACATGCAAGCGCACGCCGTGCGGGCAATTGCGCACGTGCAGGGCACGGGCACACAGGATCAGTGCGGCGCACGGGCACGTATGACGCACGAGCATGAAAAAAAAAACAAAAAAACAAAAAAACAAGCCGGGCGAGTAATGTCGCCACCTAACGGTCAAGACTGATGTGCCAGAGACCGACTCACGCTATTTCTGAGCCTAGGCTATTTCTGATGCTCCACAGGATCTCTTCCTTAGCTAGTACACCCTTCTGCATATAAGACAGGTGCCCAAAAAAAAAAAAAAAAAAAAAAAAAAAACAGATTGTTGCTGGTGCAGTGCACGGGCAGGTCCCGTGCATCACGAGGCTCACGGCACCGCACAGCCGTGCAGCTCGTGCGGTTGCAAGTATGATACGCACCTTTCTGGTTCAGCTTTATGATGGATGAATCAACGCTTCCTTGACCGATTCCCAGATTCCAGACCAACTCTGTCTCCTTTGATGGCGACCTCCACGGGAGCAATATCCCGGCTGCTTTTGCCGCGTCAGCGTCTCGACTCCTCCATGCACTCTTCATCTGCGAGTAATAGCCCAGCTGTTTTTCGCATCAACACTCCACTTCGATCCGCAAACAGAAGCCCAGCTTCTTTTTACATTAACGTCTTGATTCCTTCGTTCTCGATCCGCTGTTTCACTTCCATCATGAATTCCTTGCTTGGTGGCGAAACACCTTTCAGGGGATAATTCATGCCAAGTTCTTCCCACTTTGGAAGATGAGCCGAATGGAGACGCCATGTTGACAGCAAGAGAAACAGGGACATAAACCACATCAGACCAGGCGATAATAAAGCATGCATTTGGGGGTGAAGTATGCTTTTGTGATGTGTTTGGTTGTTTCTGATGGTAAACCATGTAGCAGCACCTACCAAACCTACTAAACCAGAAAGAGTGAAGGGCAATTACTCTACTGAACCTGAAAGAGTGAGGGGCAAATACTCTACCAAACCAGAAAGAGTGAGGGGCAATTACTGCTACAAATTGTTGAACGGCAACACATCAACAACCACTCGACATATATCACATGCCATGGGTTTGTTGTCTTTTGCTTGAATACAACTTGAACAATTTGTGAGACTTGAAAGAGCAAATAGAACTTAGGGCTAAGACCAAGGATGGTGGAGGGCAGACAATAGAGACTGCAGGGGGCTCCAGTGATCAAGCTGCAAGACAGGTCTCTACAGCAACACTCAGATACGACCTTAAATGTCCTTCGGGACATCCGTTAAAATTGGAACGATACAGAGAAGGGTAAAATGAGCATGGCCCCTGCGCAAGGATGACACACATAAATTGAGAAATGGTCCAAATAATGCCAAAAAAAAAAAAAAAAAAAAAAAAAACCCTAGCTGAGACTCCCTGAGAGGACTTTTGAGTATAAAGGCAAGCTGACAGTCAATCCTCCATGAAGATGGAGCAATCAATTCTGGGCAGGGGTCCTTCGGCCAGACGGAAGGAAGTGTGTGTGTGTGTGTGTGTGTGTGTGTGTGTGTGTTGTTGTATTCTCTTGACTTGCTGGTGGAAAAGGAACCGGACTGACGCTCCCCAGAATGGATATGGAGCCAGGACCATAAGGCTCTATTTTCGGGGGAAAAAAAGAAAAAAGATACGACCTTGAATGGTGTGCTGAATGATGCACCACAGCCATAAGGGGAGGAAGACCACACCTGCTAGAAGGAGGCGGACGAAAGAAAACTGTTCTATTCAATCCATTGCCTTTCCCTTGTGCAGTTCTTTTTTCGCATTTCTTACTTTGGCCTTTTTTTTTCTTGGTTTCTCGTTTTATTTCTTCTTGCAGTTCCCCTTCGTCAGTGCTTTCAGATATACAAGGCTCGCCACATTAATGTGGTTGAGTGTGAGCTGCACGCATCCCTGTGCGCCATAGCAACCCACTCGCACGGTTCGAAAAGGAGGCAGAGTAAAGCAGGAGGGGTATCCTGTCTGTTCTCTTTATGATGCTAATTGGTAGGAGAAAGGGAAGGGGAGGGAGATGAGGGGAAGAAGAAAGAGAACAGGGGAAAGCTGAACTTAACACAGGGTTCTGAGTATGCACCAGCAGAGCAGAGACCCCGTAACGACTGACTCGAAAGAGGAGAGCATGATTGATTTCATGCTACTACTATGGAATGGCACAAGAGGCCAGTCAGTGCTTGGGTTGCAGAGAAAAACGAGTTCGATGTCAGGGAGTCGTACATGAGTACGATATTGAATGGCATCATATGTATGAAAACCAAAGACTAGCATGGGCTACACTCTCATCATCCTCACGACACAATGCATGCATGCTAGCCGAATCTCAGGTTGGCTAGCATTGCAGCATTGAGCAAGGTTCTTCTTGGGTTTCCGCAGACAATTTTTTCCTTCTCTATGGGCAGGCGATGAAGGGGAGTGACCGGAAGTAAGGGTGTTTAGCTGCTGCAAGACCTGGTCTGCAACTGTGAGAGGTGGTTCGTGTGAGAATCTAGTCTCCACCTCAGGCTGCTGCATCTGTTCCTCGTCTGGCAAGATGGAGAGGGACCGATTAACACGTGCAGCCAGAGGATGGCCAACGTTGCATGTGGGACATGAATGAAGAGGATGTGGCGGGTGATGTTATCGGAGGATTAGTCCATGCAGATAAGACACATACTCTCCATGACAGCTTTCTTGCCTAATTCACCGCCTACGTGCCCTTTACGCCTAGTAATACGACAGATTCTTTAAGTATAAAATGCCCCCTGGAGGGCAAAGAAAAAGATCCAATTTTCTTTGGAAACAATATGTTATAGGACACGTCATCCTGAACAAGTTCTTTTTTCCTAAAAATCAGTTCATTGCCACGCATTCTGAACAAGTTTTGGATAGGAGAACTTAGGACGCATTCTGCAATTTATACCAGAGTGTGCAATTGAAATGGTCGATACAAACCAGCAACAAATGCCAACAAACAAAATCTGAAAATGATAAAACACGTTTTACTAAGCTACAGCAACATATTCCTAGACCCATAGACCTACATAGGAAACTACATCGATCTATACATAATACATATCGATGCGTACCTCTGTCTGCACCTAAACATCTGTACTTAAACATGTATACATATGGATCTATACTATTCTACAGTGTACTACACCTATGCCTATAAAATTACATACCTCTGTCAACAGATATTGACACAGGTACAGGTATAGATTTATAGTGTACATAGGCAGGTCTGTGCTCTAATATGTCTACTCCCATAGGGAGGTTACCTATAGGAATGCCCATTTCTGTTTTCATAATACATGGCCGTGATGGCACCCACATCCGTGCTGGCTGGCTCGCTCCTACAATGGCCTTCTTTTTTTTGGCCAAAAAAGAGGCAATACCGTACTCATACGGGATAGTACAAAGCTGTACGTACTATGTACGGATTTGTATGGCCTATTCACCACAAGCTATGCAGGACTGCAGATTGTTGCTCGTGTCTGCAGATTTCGAATTCCGTACGTTCTTGTAATGGAGGGAGTTTTCTGTGTTCTGTACCGTTTTTGCTTTCCTTGTTGACTTCTAAAGGCTGTTGCTTTTGCTCGGTTCTGTACAATAACCGGGTTCTGCTCACCATCCTCAGACCGACCGTCAAACAGAGCGCACTCATCAGACTGCGCATGCCATCCTTCCAACACCCGTTCGCCTTGACTGGCAAGGTTGGGAAGAGCATATTGGCCGATGTTATATTTGCCTACAACACGGCTCTTCACCCTACCCTCATCATGTCAGCTTTTGAGTTGGACCATGAAGTACCCGCATATATGAAAGGCGCCAAAGCGGCCAAACCATTTGGGAAGGAGCTTGCACGAAATACGATCCTCCAAGCTGAGCTCCTCTGCCAGAACCCAGACAAGATCATCTTTTTTAAATGCGCAAGGTGATCGATGGTGGTTTGCCTGCTGCTGCATGTGTAATCTTTTTGAAACTGCGCACGAGTAATCTTCTCCAGTGCTTTCGGAATCAAGTCAGGCTTCTTCCTAAAAACTTTCCCTATTAGTTCTAATGCAGTCTGTATATGACTCTGTAGCATACTCTTGTTTCCAATAACTGCTTGAAACACTTCCAGGGTTGTGTTATGGGGAACAATTTTGTGAGATCGTTCCCTGACATCTTTGTTTCCAGATTTTACCCATTAACTGATGTATCTTAATTCTTACCATCAGGCATGGCAGGATCAGAATTTTACAACGGTTAATCTCAGTCCAGTCAATGCCTGGTTGAACAAATGAAGAAGAACAGAGATGCAAACAGGGTAAATCAATTGTGTGCGGGTGTGGAGGCCGGCTGACAGAGGATGTGAATCAGTTGTCCAGAAAAAAGTGCAAAAATGGGAAAGGACTGGAGAACTTTGGGGGGAAACAACGAAAAAGCCATTGGTAGGGGATCCTTTACTTCTGCTAACAGAATTTCTATACCCAAAGCATTACGCTCATGACGAAGATCATCATGATTGAAAGCAGAGTGACACCAAACTTCATCAAACTGAAGAGGAGATTACCAGAGATATCCCTATCCCCAGCCAGAGGTACTCGTGCAAAGCATTCGACCGACAACACTCTGACACCACCGGATCTTCAAATGACAGCCATAACACGCTAACGAGATGTGATGATTTCTCATCAAGTAGCCTTGATGAGGGGATCACAATGGTGGTGCAACATGGAGAAGAAGCAGAACAAAAAAGGAAGAAGAAGAGAAAGACGAATGACCTGCGGGACATCCATTGAAATTGGAACTATGCAGAGAAGATTAGCATGGCCCCTGTGCAAGGATGACACACATAGATTGAGAAATCGTCCAACAAGAAGAAGAAGAAGAAGAACAAGAAGAAGAAGAAGAAGAAGAAGAAGAAGAAAGAAGAAGAAGAAGAAGAAGAAGAAGAAGAAAGTACACAAACAAAGAAGAAGAAGAAGAAGAAGAAGAAGAAGTACACAAACAAAGAAGAAGAAGAAGAAGAAGAAGAAGAAGAAGAAGAAGTACACAAACAAAGAAGAAGAAGAAGAAGAAGATAGCTGTACTCATGCAAAGCTAGAACATAGAGGTACTCATTCAAAGCATACGACGTACAACACTCGTCAACCACTTGATCTTAAAATGACAGCCATAAACCAGCAAATGTGGTGTGATGATTGCTCATCAAGCAGCACTCACCTTATTTACACCCAGAGTATGGTACGGTAGAATCTCAACTCCAATAAGGGTAGGCTGGGTCTTTGCAAATGCTATGAGTCCCTCAATTTCTTGTTCCGTGTCAGTATAGCCCGGCAGCACTACAAAGCGGATTACCAGCTGGACCTTGTACTTCTGGATGGCTTCAACAAACTTCATCACGACTGTATTCGATAAACCCACCAGCTTATGGTAAACTGCCTTATCCATAGCCTTGAGACAAAGCAGCACCACATTCGTGTATGGGAGCACTTTGGCCCATTCTTCCGGTCGACCATAACCTGATATATCACAAACATTGAAATACAGCATACACAAACAAGGTGAAGCAAGTCACTCCCCCTTTAGCACTCAGTGACATAGATGCACAAACACAGTCCTTCTGAATTTTTCAACCAAGCATTGAATGTTCCGATCCCTCAGACCCATCAACCAACAACATAGATGCTCTGTCTGTCCACACCTCCAAAGCACATAAGACCTCACATATACAGTTCACACAGACCTACCGTCTTCACCCGAATAGAACACCCGGTAATTACTGCCGTATCCGGACTGAAAGTTGGACCAAGTACAGCCATAATGGCCGGGTGTTCTATTCGCGCGAAGAGAGTAGGCATGAGTGCCCTGACCCATTCGCATGTTGAACAATCCCCCACGTCCAATCTTCACAGTCATAAACGCAATTGCCAAGCCGGACTGGCATGTTCTCCAAAACGATATCCCTTCCCCCAAACAAATCACACAAGTTTCGATTGGAATGCTACAGAGACGATTAGAATGGCACCAGTGTGAGGATGAAGTACACGAACAAAGAAGAAGGAGAAGGAGAAGGAGAAGGAGAAGGAGAAGAAGAAGAAGAAGAAGAAGAAGAAGAAAGAGAATGCAGGGGCAACACGTCCCCTTAATTGGCAGTGCAGGGGCAACACATCGGAAAAGATTCAACCAACGGCAGTGCAGGGGCAACACATCCCGAAAAAAGGGGGCGGAATGCGGGGGACCCAGGGAAACAGAGGAAACCATCAACAACTTTCATTGTTTTCTTCACGCATACAATTTTGTTTGAGGACAGACCAAACTGTTTGGCTTATCCAACAGGTGAGCTGGTATGCTGCCTAGAGTGGGGACTTGCTTGCCTTTAAGATACAACTGGCAGGTCCATACCACCGCAGCCTCAGGAACCGACCCAGCCCTAGGTACCAAACCTAAACCCTGCCTCCACACACGTATGGTAACATAAGCGGATTTGTTGAACGCAAAGTACCATGATGTGAAGCAGCAGACTTTCATACATTCCTGCACCTGAGGCATTCATCCCGTTGCCAGTTGATCTCCAGGGAAAGGGGGGGTGGCGGGGGGGGAATTGATGTTGACCACACTACTCCTTGTTACCTGCAGTGTCAAGGGCAGTGCTGATTCCAAGGGCATGTGCCTCCCTAAAAATAGCTGCACAGAAATCTGGCTGCAGAAGTGGCTCACCACCAGAAAGCGTAACCCCTCCACCTCCAGAGTAGTATGGCAGATTCCTTTCCAGGAGCTTGGCAATGTCTTTGCTGGACATTCGCTTCGTCTCCTTCGTCGTAGGACTGTCGCATGAGAGGACATTGATCAAACGGAAGGAACGACACAAGATAGATAGATGGAGAGAGAGAGAGAGAGAGAGAGAGAGAGAGAGAGAGAGAGAGAGAGAGAGAGAGAGAGAGAGAGAGAGAGAGAGAGAGAGANAGAGAGAGAGAGAGAGAGAGAGAGAGAGAGAGAGAGAGAGAGAGAGAGAGAGAGAGAGAGAGAGAGAGAGAGAGAGAGAGAGAGAGAGAACACAATGTATTGCCAACCACAAGCAACAATGAGCAGCGTGGAGAAATAAAAGAAGAAGGACGTGAACAGAGAGTATAGGGAGTACAGTGGATGGGGTTGAAAATTTGAAAAGGAGAGAGCAAGGCAAGGGGACACGGCAATGTAAGAGGCAGTGACAAAAGGCTCATGGTAACCAGCTAGGGTATGAGAGAGATAGGACAACAGAGTAACGACAAGAAAAGTGGCCGACAAGAAGACAATAAACAAAGACTCAGACAAGGAAAACCTGGCAAAGGCTCTTAGAAGGGAGAGACCAGCTACAATGATACGTAAAGAAACAAAAAGTAAATGCAATATATAGCATAAACTGCCACAGCAATCAAGCACGAAGAGAGGTGCTTGCATTATGAAGGTGTCATCACAAAGAAAAACGAGTGCGTCAAACACATTGAAGATAAGAGGAAGCACCCGCTGAGTGGCAGGGGCAAAAGAGTGCGAAGTACTGCTGTCAGCAACCATTACATAGCAAACTACTGAACACTAAATACACCAAATCAAGCAGACTGAAAGCAGGAGCTCTTGTAAACTCTTACCCCATCCACCATTACACTCCAAGAATGTGGTTCATATAAGTTTTTAACACCCACAAAAAAGCCTCATGGCTTATATCAGCAGAAATGTCAGACATAATCATCTTACCAATTCCCAAGATCACTCAGAGGCGAAAGTAATCTAGCCACATGCATTGTTTCATGTTAGTGAGTTTGTCTATTCCTGCGTTTGTTTGTGTCTTTTCTGTTCCTGTGTGAGACACTGTGTTTGTCAGTATTTTGTGTCTGTAAGCCCCCTGGATGTGTCTGTGTTTGAGGATGTGTATGCCCCCTGGTAAGTGTTTGCATGTGTGTCAATGAGTACACGTCGTGTACGTCCATTCCGCAAGCAACATGGGTGGAAGTGTCTCTGACAATCTCCAACCTCGCTCGGAAAACTGACTGTGAAAGGTTCCTCATCTACCGAATATTCGCCTCTCTCTCTCTCTCTCTCTCTCTCTCTCTCTCTCTCTCTCTCTCTCTCTCT